GTACCTGGGAGTTAGTCAGCTGTCACGGGCTGCTTCCTTGGGTGTGTGTGCGTGTGTGTGTGGTATGGAGAAAAAAATAGTAGTAGTAGAAACAGTTGATTGACAGTTGAGAGCCGGGCCGAAAGAGCAGAGCTCAACCCCCGCAAAAACACAACTAGGTGAATACACACACTCACATGTAGATATGACGAAGCTCTAGAAGCTCAGGAATCTGTACGCCAGTAGATTGATGGTTGAGAGCCTCACGGCCGAGGCGGAAACAAATGGGTAGAATTTCTTTATATCTTAAGGTTTACCTTGCAATAAAAAATGTACCTGGGAGTCTGGGAGTTAGACAGCTGCTACGGGCTGCTTCCTGTGTGTGTGTGTGTGTGTGTGTGTGTGTGTGTATGTGTGTATTCACCTAGTTGTGCTTGCGGGGGTTGAGCTCTGCTCTTTCATCCTGCCTCTCAATCATCTGTCAATCAATCAATTGTCAAGCATCTGCTACGACTATTTTTTTTATCCCCCCCCCCCACACACACACACCAGGAAGCAGCCCGTGACAGCTGACTAACTCCCAGGTACCTATTTACTGCTAGGTAACAGGGGCATCAGGGTGAAAGAAACTGCTCGTTGTTTCTCGCCGGCGGCGGGAATCGAACCCGCGACCACTGGATCACGCGTCCAGTGTGCCGTCCAGTCAGCCACTGGCTACCCTTGTGTGTATGTGTGTGTTAGAGGAGATGTGTAGGTCCCCACCACTACTATATATAAACACACAGAGCATTATTGTTTTGTACCACTTACGGGCTATTCATGCCCGTGCCACCCCTTGGGTGGCTTAATCTTTATCAATCATTATTGTTTCCATTCACCTGGGCTCTTGGAGACTCGAACCACGGACCCCAAGCGTGTAAAGATTGATTGATTGATGAAGATTGAAGTAAGTGGTGGCCCTTTTGAGCCATCTGTGGAGATCTGTGGAGGTGCGACTGCACCCTGCGTGACGGGAGATGTCTCCCGTGAGACAAACGTGTAAAGCCGCGTGGGGCCATTTTATAGGATTATTGCTCTTACGTAGTTTAAAAAAATAGGTCAACCAGTAAAAGTGGCCTTGATATTTTTATCTGGTCTGTGCCAGAAATAAATATAATAAATAAACAAGGCTTCCTTGTAAATCTCCAAACTAATCTTGAAAATTAAAAATTAAAATTTAAAATTTTAAGTGAAGTTTACATTTGAAGTTTACATATTGGTTATATAATCCTTGCTCAGCCAAGAGTGACAATTTTTGTCAACTAGTCTAAGCCTTCGCCTCTATACGGAAAACTGACAAAAATAATGCAATATTAAAGATCTTTCTTATTTGCATATACTTTATATATCGTGTACCCTTTAATTGAAATATAGCATATATTTTTTATACCTCTTTTGTTTTCTAAAAAAATAATGCACAAAATTTGAATTTAGCTGCAAATTTATTTATTTTTGTTTGATAGAGTTATATATAGAGTGCGTCGAGTGTGTGGAAGAAAGTCATGTTGTCGCGGAGAAAACCTTCGTCTAGTATAACAGGAGAAACTGATCTTGTGGAGGGTGAAATTCCTCTCAAGTGAAGTGAAGCCTTCATGGCCGCCCAGTATTGCCTGCTCCACAAATGAGAGTATGACTCACAATACACTTAATGATCATTGTTGATGGTGTGTATGTGCCGTGAGGGAGGTTATAAGTAAGGGTGAGCGTGTGAGTGTGTGTTAGTGTGACTTGGGTCCCCGTGGAGTGCGTGCGTGACTGCCGCTTGGCTGCCTTCAGTTTTATATCGATACATTCCAATACCACCCGCCACCCACCCGACCTCTGACTCATCTCGTGTATTTTCCAGTCTAATAATTTCTCCGGTGATCTTACGTGCTGCCGATGTTTAATAGGACGATAAATGTGCTTGAAGTATGTGAGGATGAATAATTATTAACGATATTCACATTCCTGTTAACATAAAACTGATCGATTCGTAATGATTTTCTAATGTTTATAGTACAAATCTGAATGTAAAAAATCCTATTTTGTGAACTATGAAGCTTTACCTAAATAACTGCCATAGGCATCAGCCTGGTGAGGTAGGACTGATTGATGGCTTATCGGTTCTGTAAGATTACCATCATCTGAAGTGTAATGACTGGCTGGGCCTGCGTACTAAGAGCGGAGGAACGACTCTCTTAAGATTCAACAGGTGGTGGGTGATTCTCCATCATCCATGTTATATCCTAAGATTCAACAGGTGGTGGGTGATTCTCCATCATCCATGTTATATCCTAAGATTCAACAGGTGGTGGGTGATTCTCCATCATCCATGTTATATCCTAAGATTCAACAGGTGGTGGGTGATCCTCCATCATCCGTGTTATATCCTAAGATTCAACAGGTGGTGGGTGATTCTCCATCATCCATGTTATATCCTAAGATTCAACAGGTGGTGGGTGATTCTCCATCATCCATGTTATATCCTAAGATTCAACAGGTGGTGGGTGATTCTCCATCATCCATGTTATATCCTAAGATTCAACAGGTGGTGGGTGATCCTCCATGTTACTGACTGAACACTGACGGCCACTTCTGAAAAAGTTATCACTAAAATTATAAAGCAAATGACTGAACATTAGTGAAAACTGTTCTAACAGACCAGTGATCTGAGGCAGTGTTCCTTCCTGGTGCTGGAGCTGGTCAGTGTGTTTATGTATGTTGATCTGGGAGCTGTCGTCTTCACACCAGGGGGGGGGGGTGTTCTATACATTCCAACACACCAGAGGATGTTTATATAAACACACCAGGGAGTGTTGTAAACACCCCTTACATCAGGTGTGTTATACAATCACCCTCACACTAGGGGGTGCTTTACACATTTACACCAGTGGTGTGTTATACATATTTCCTTAGACCAGGGTTGTTAAGTAATATGCACAGTCCCTTTACACCAGGGTGCTACTCACAACAGGGATATTATACGCATATAATATTCCTTCTCATTCACATGGAACATTCCCTCTTACATCAGGAAATGTTTTATTCACAAACACCTCGCATGAGTGGATGTTCTACTCACAAACACCTCGCATCAGTGGATGTTCTACTCACAAACACCTCGCATCAGTGGATGTTCTACTCACAAACACCTCGCATGAGTGGATGTTCTACTCACAAACACCTCGCATGAGTGGATGTTCTACCCAATCCATCACATCTGGAGATGTTCTACTCACAACCCCACACGTTAAAGATGTTCAACCCAACTCTCCAAGTTTGATCAGGGGATGTTGTTTTTATGTTATGTTAATAGTATTGTGAGGCTATGAGTGAGCAACTGCACGAATCCATTTATGAAATATCCACACGTTGTAAAGCCTACATGGAACCTAGTGTTCTCTAAGACCTTCACCCACACCAAAGTTACAGCTACACATACTTTAAACACGAAGTAATAACACATTGACTTTGTAACCGGTTGTACGCCCTCTCAGTGAATACCGTATTCAAGCAAGGGAACTTGACGTACAGACATTTTATAAATAGACTGTTCTGAAGAGAGGCATCATGTGATAGGATACCAAGTGAACGTGGAGGGGGGGGGGGTACCGACGCCCCACAGGACAGTTGAGTATGGTGTTAGGATACTCTTCTGACCAAAGGATACTAGACAGACTAAGGTCCCAGGGACCCTTCCCTCCCCCTTTGATTCGTCTTTTGCTGTGTTGTTGAGTCAAGTTTTGTATAGTTAGCCTAAATGCTAAATTAATTTCCGATTTATTTGGCGGTAATTGACGTCGTTGTCACGATGTTAGACAACTTATTAGTGAAGCTGGACATTGTGTGATGTAATTACTGCCGATACACTTGTCGTTCCTCTACAGAACCGCACTACTTTGCCTCGTACACGAGGCCTCATTTGCCTATAGCAGGCTGAGGGATTTTTTTTATTTTCAAATATTTATGTTAAAATTAGTTTATTCCAATTAATATTATTATATTATATTAAGGATATGAATTACTGAGTTAGGTTAGGTTAGGTTTAATTAAATTTCCATGTTTTAATTGAAATTAAAAAAAATCATATGTAATGTAATGGAAAGCTTTATTTCCTTAAGGGGAAAAACTGTGAAAAACCTACAGCAGGAAAATTTGGCTTGTTAGGCAACTTGGCCTATTAGGTACAACACAACGACATCTGGCCTATCAGTATTGGCTAAGGGCTAAATGACCTCCAGACAAGGTTCGGTATCTCTCATAGATGCGTTTATGATATTAAATAAGTATAACAAAAGCCTTATCACCTTAAGATATTTGAGGAGACATGTATCTTCCGAGTTACCAGGCAGAACACACCATGGGGAATTAAAATTAGTATGTCACATATACACTTATTAATAAGCAGGATATTTACTATAAGCAAGTACGAGAACGGGTTGGTGCCAGAGTAACATACATGTACAAGAGCCCACCGTCAAGGGTACGTCAGCCATGCGTCTCAAAAAAACACTTTAAAAACCTCATTAGACAGACTGTTGGGACTCTCCCCAGCCGGCTTCCGGCTCCTGTCTCAGACGCCACAGTGGCCTTCAGGTATAATAGCTCTCCAGTTGATAGGTATTAAACAACTGCAAGTGCAGTTGTTTAATTGTTTTGTTTCTCGTTCCCGGTATGTTATTTGTATCGAGTTTAGTATTTTTAAACAAATCGATATCTCTTAGTATCTTTAAAAAGAGTCGAGTTGTTTTGTCTGCTCATACGAGCAGTTATCACTGTAGCAGCTGTACTTGGAAATCTAACGATCGAAACCTCTATAGTTATTATTGATTTTTCAGATCTTTTTATCTTTATAATGTTTTAATGTGATACAAAAATTCGTGGCAACGAGTGTGGTTAAACGCCAAGTGAACATTCCGCCAAACAAGAGTGGAAACTGGACGCTGATTGGTCCGTGCACCTCGCCGGTTGCCGGATACTTCGTATTTAAACCAATTTGGCTGGCGCGGAGCGTCAGTGTCACGGAGACCTGTATGGGGTGTACACTCTCCGGCCTTGCCCTAGACAGCAGACGCAGCAGCAGCACCGTAACCACCATGTCTGAAGTCAAGACTCAGGACCTGGAGGACATCGCCAACAAGCTGAGGGTCCTCTCCATCAAGGCGACGCAGGCCTCCAACTCCGGGTAGGTCGATACCGGCGGCCGCCGCCTGACCTTCAGGAGTCCTGGGTGGAGCCGGGTCATGCTCGAGGGTAACCAAGGTCACAGTATTGATTGGCCACCACCCCGGCTCCCATTAATATGTCCTCCAGCCCCCATTAATGTGTCTAACAACCGTGGAGGGTCCTTCACCCTCCATGTATCACTTGTCGCCAGGATACCTTATGTAACTACTGTTGAGAGGAGAAGGGTGTTAGGATACGTGGTGTATGACCTGTGTCATCCTTGGGGGACTTGGCCGCCATAGATCAATAGAGCCCAGTGATGGTGCTGGTCTTCACTTCCCCTGGACCCTGTTAGACTAGCCATGGTGTACCAGTACACCGGTTATGACATTATTTCAGCTTAGTGGCTGGAGGTTGGTTGGGGGAGGATGCTGCCTAGGTTTTTTTTTTGGGGGGGAGGGGGGGGGGTTAGATTATTGAGGTTTAGTAAAAATTACTCGATCCTCCAAGTGTAATGTGGCAACGGTGACTCGTGGATGGAAGAATTACCTGGCAGTAAAATTTTTCCTTGAATCCCAATGGGGGGGGGGGGGGGGGGGGGGGATTCATTGGTTTTTCTGAGGGAGGATGAAGTGTGGCATTTATATTTTACACTATTTTCTATATAACTAATAATTGTGACCACTAAACTTGTGGTAACATTTATCTATCATACTTGTGTGATGGTTAAAGACTAAATGTGTGTTTTTCAGACCTATAGTATCCAATTAACTTTCATATTGCCATACAACTAATTCAAGGTACTTTATTGGTGTGTAGTTATTAGTGATGCCGTGTATACTATGGGCAATATCGTGCACTTGACATATTTGACACTTGACAGACGTCTATGACGTCTGATCACTCGGACATATGAGTGATGACCGACGTTCATAGCGTGTAGCCTTTTGCCACAGTCATATTGTGGTGCAAGGGCCAATGCCTAGCAAATCTTTATGGAAAGATTTGCTAGGCATTGGCCCTTATTTCCTCGAAGAAAATATTGTCTACCTCCAAGTAGAAAAAGTTTTACTTGGCAGACTGGAGATGCTTGATGAAATACTGGGGTATTTTTCTTAAGAGGTATTTGGCAGTTAAATATTGTGTAGCTTAAAAGCTAGTAAAGTATAGTCATATATTTAATTTTGATGCAATAGTAAACATTTTAGGTACTATGAAGTTAATGTTAAGTAATACGAAGTTTCTTGTGCCAATGTACATATTGTACTGCTCCCCCCCCCCCGCCCGCCTCCAACAATATACTGTATAGAAGAATGGTACTTATGATTTTGTAGGAATAACAAATGGCAACAGCCTACCCTCTAATATGCCTGGGATAGTATCTATAATAGAATATTTCCCAGATTGGATGCCAAATGCTTTGCTGTTTGCAGGGTGAATAGCTTGAGGTGCTGTGTGGGTGAAGGGGTGAGACCCGGGTGCAGGCACCCCTTTGTAAAATGCGCCCAACCACTTGTCCCTTATGGGATTCGATCCTGGAATTCTAGATTTGGTAAAAAACTAGCCAGATTGTACTACTATACTAGGACGAATACGATAATTTTTGGGCTTGTCAGGATATCTGGCTATCTTGTTCTTCACATGTAGTTTGAATAATTGAGCTTGTACAGTACAGTATAAAATACCAATACAGTAGTTCCATAAAAGGATTTTTTTTTTTTGGGGGGGGGGGGGGAGGGTTAAGGGTGTAACGGCCCTAAATTTGTAAATTTCATCCAGTGAATAAGAAAAAGATGGGGTTCTACTACACAAATTGTAAACCTGTCAATGTAAAGAGATAAAGGTTCTAATTTTAGATGCTTGATAAACTTCCACTTTTCATTGCTATCAGTGAAGTTTTTTGTAATTTAGATAAGTTAACATTTATAGATGAAATTGTCTGAAACAGTGCTTCCAGCTTTTAAACTTGACATAAGTGATTACAAAGTATTTACATGTAGTCTAATTGAAGTTGTAATGGAACACGCTTAATTGTAAAAGATGTCCAGGTATAGTATTGACACTTCATGCAAATGCAATACTTTTACATGATAAAATGATTAATGAGTAGCATAAATTTCATGTGCATTTTACCTCCAGCCTATCATCAAAATTGGAAGTTTAATCACCCAGGAGTAGACAGAGGCATTACTGTTTAGTTACTTTCCACAGTATTGCCCCTATCTTTTTGGTTTTAAAATTTTTTGCCTGGTGTTTGTAACTCTTAAAATAAATACCAGAGTATAAGAAGCAAATGAAAAGTACAGCAGTATAAAACAAAATAGTGATACTTTTTGGTTTTCAAATTTAATCTGTTCCTAAGAGATGGATCGGCTGAAAAATCACAACCAAAAACTAATTGTTGCTAAAGAAATAATGTAAATTGAATTAATCCATTCCACAGTCCCAAAAACATCAAAAAGTACATTTCATACATGATACAAATATTTTGTACTATCGTATACAAGGTTATTGCTTGCCTTTATTGACTTGTTGGCAAATGGAAAATGGTGGGGAGGAGGAGAGATGTTATAATGAAAGGGGACTCCCCCTGCCAAACATCAGGCAGTGATGCCTTCTCTGGGGTGCCCTCTTCTACGTTTTGCAGGAATACCACTAGGACCTGGTTGCGGCTCACTGCTTGCTTATCTTACTAAGAATCTGTCCAAAAATGCTTGTTTTTCCCTACATTTTAACACTTGTCTGTAGTGAGAAATCGGTCATTAAAAAGATCAATGCAATGGCCTGTTACAGCTTTCTGAGTAGCCCCACCCCCACCCCAATGAATTTTTGCAATTCTTCTATATTTTTAACGAGGAAGGGACATTCTCTACTGCCTCTACTTTCAACTATTTTCTTAGGTTAAACCTTACCACTGACTTTCTTGGGATCAATGGTGTGGTATACAATAACTTTCATGTTCAAAAAACACATTCTTTACAAAGAATTCAAACGTGATGTCACTAAGCGGGATGCACTGGTGAACTGAAGCACAGTTGCCCGTGCCACCAGGGACCAAGCACTCGGTTGACCCGTAAGTGTATCAACAAAATCTCAAGGCGAGGCAAAGTTCGTAAAGCGAAAAATTCGTGAGGAGCAACCCGTCCTAGACTCTTTTCCCTTACATCCAGCAATCGACCCCATACACATTCATAAAATTTAATGTGCTGTTTTTTCAAAACAGGAAATTTCTCTAATATAAATTAATATTGTAATATTAGCCTATTGTGCATATATAGGCATAGGTAAAGTGTTTAGGTTCTTTTGGCAATTTGTATTTAGTGCATGGGGTCAAGCATTTACAGCATTGTGGTTCGAACAAAATTCGTCGGTGAAAGACTTGTTCCGGAACTGTTCGAACGTCATCAGTTGAGTAGTGTAGAAAGTTTTTAATTTATAAAGGAGGGGGGGGGGGGTGGCGGTTGCACGGAATCGCTTTTGGGTCTGTTTGGATAATGGGCTGTAAAAAGGGACGTTTGCTACCTGAGGTTCCACTGTATACCTTGACTTCACATGAACTAGGCAAACACTTGAGTTTAATTTTCCATCCCCCCCCCCCCCCCCCCCCCCTTCTCTCCCCTCCTTCCCAAGATTCCTTTCTCAAATTGGTAATACTGTATCTTCTGAACACTAGTATAACTAGTGGCAGTATTAATATTACTCATTCAACACGACGAAAACTTGTAAAAGCTAAGTAAACCTCTGCATCTAAAAAAGATGCAGTATATCACATGGAGTATTTTTATGTAGAAAACTGTATTGGAAAAATACCACTACAATAGAGCAGTTCTTGACTTCGGTAACATAAAGGGTAGCAAAACTTTATTGTAAAATCACTTATTGTAGTTTCTTACTAGTCTCAAACTGTGAAGTTAGTGGTACTGTAACTGATAATCAAATGTGTGATTGCCAGGAGCGGGAGGGCCTTGAATTCCTATCAAGAATAGGTGGGAGTGTTTTTGCCCAGTGGTGGTGGCTTAATGCGTCGGTATTGTCCATAAACTTTCAACTATTAAGAGCTTGGTGCAGGCAAATACATTGTGTTGAATAAATAAAACTGTTTCCAGGCCAATTGAGATGCCTGTAGTCTAAAAATATACAAATTTGGGGATCGCAAAGAAGTTATTGTAGGGTGAAGAAAGTAAGGGGTTGAATGTAAAGACTTGGAAATCCATACTTGCCAGGAAGTGGTGTATTTAATTTTAAATATTTTAAAGTACACGAGTGGTTTGTGTGTATAAAAGAACATAAACATAAGTGACCTGAGGTCTCTCGCAATTAAATTACAAATGGTAGCTGTGCTGAAGGGGAGAAACATGCCTTCCTCTTGGCTTTCTCAATTTGCAACATCTGCAATCAGTTTAGTCTCTTAATCTAACCTGCTTGATTGCCCAGAGATTATATTAGATTGATCATATATTTAATCATGTGTTGTACATTTGTTTGGTAAGTGTGTGTAAATGCAGTCACATGAAATGTCTACAGTTATAGATTGTATACTAAAGAATTGGATTCGGAAGCTAATCCATTCATTGTCAAATTCAGAACTACTGAATTTCCATAACTCATACAAATCATTTCAATGGCTGAAATAAACAGGTGTAAATCAGTCTATAGTAAACTTTACATGTTGGCTTGAAATGAGTAGTGTTCGGATTAAAATTTGACACTACAGTATATTGGAAAAGTGAAGTGTGCAGACTTCATAATCGGTTTTAACGCTTGGTGCTAAAACTATGGGTTGAAGGTGGCCAGTGATTGGGGGGGGGGGGGAGTTATCGTTGCCTAGCTTAAAATTTGCTCCAGAGGGCAACTAAACATGAGTAAATTTGTCCACTCTTTCTTTTGAAAGAAAATTCATGAATAATAAAATACTTGATAGCAATGGATTGAGCCACCTTTTAATTTGCTTCATAGTTAATATCCTAATGGGGATGTATTAAGTTTAAATTGAATTAAGTCTTGTACACAAGATTAGCAGTTATGAAGCTATGCCCTTTAAATTAAACGGAATTGTCTTTTGTTGAATTTAAGAAACGGGTTTGATAAGTTTCAAATTTAGGTTCGGTTTGACGTTACGGCAAATGTCCATGTACAGTACATTGCTATCCTAAGTTTATACTGTACTTCATAATTTTCAGACATCCAACATCATGTGCTTCCATGGCAGAGATAATGTCGGTGCTCTTCTTCCATACGATGCGCTACAAATTGTCTGCACCAAAAGATGCCAGCTCTGACCGCTTCATCCTCTCAAAGGGCCATGCTGCTCCCATCCTCTATGCTGGTTAGTACAGTTTTTCAGATCTCCCTCTTTCCCTGCTTAATTGTATAAAATTTTATGCATTGCTGTTTAAGCACAGTTAAACATGCACATCTGCCTGATCACTTTAGAACTCGCTTATGAACTTTAGAGCAAAAAGATCTAGAAGCATTCAAATGCTTAAAAGAAATTTGAAAACCCAGCCTTTTTATTTTAAAGTTAAAAGGATGGAATAACAATTTACATAATTTTAATATTTGATTGTAATAGCCTTGAGGGATTGTGCAGGCATTACTATCTTGAGTATAGACACTTGTATTCCTTGGTGGCAAATTCTTCATCCCTCCCCTTGTGATTCTTTTCAACCCTGGAACAGGTGTAGATTTAAAGTGGTTCATGGAAGAGATATTTATTACAGTATTAACTGATATAAATGAACATTCATAAACAAAATACAGTAATTTAGAATTGTTTAGAAATACAAATTCCTTTTTGGTTTTCATTTATAAATCTGTTTTGTGCCATACAGGTAATTCTGTTAGTACTTTGGCCTGCAACCAAAGATTGCTAGACCTACCCCAGGATAGTGTGCAAAATCTCCCCCCCCCCCCCATCCCTAGTGATTTTAAATACTGAAAATCCATTTGACTAAAACTGTTGTAAATGCTCTTGTAAATGCTTTGGAAAGGTGCATAAATGTATATGAACAAGTAAATGTGTAAGTAAAATGCAGGTAAGTATGGTAAACATGTCAAAGTGGAGGAAGGTTCCATGGCACTTAATTTTGTAAGGTATTCCTTCAATGAGATTATCTAGTAGTTTTCATTTAATTTTTTGTACCAGCTTGTGGTGGTTTTGCAAGTTTTGGAGCACCTATTTGCCAAAACAAGGTTTATGACGTATTGAATCTGTGTTGGGGTACAAAAATAACCATTAATGGTTTGTATTCCTCTGGTTATGTCTTGGCTTGGTTTTAAAAGAAAGTGGATGACTTTGTGATAACTTAAACCAATAATTATAGCTGCTCCCAAATTTACCCCACACATCCTCTGATGGAATAAGTTTGTTGCAAGCAATATCCTAGTAAGTTCTGCAGTAAGTGTCCCTAAAGTGAAGTGTGGGTAAAGTTTTTTGTTAAACCTACAGGTGCAAATCTAATTTGGATACATGAAAGACAAATAAGGCTACAACCCATACACCTAAATTAGAAATATTCCCACTATTTATGAAATATAATACCTACTGTACCATGTTCCTAAAGGTGGAGTAGTGGCCAGCAACACTAATAATGAATGCTTGCCATCTTCAATGTTATATCTGGTGCATGAAAGCACTCCAGAATTGTACGGTTATTCTCTTGACAAATCTGTGGGCCTATTTTTACACCAGGACATGTATCACTTTCTCAGTTCTCTTAAAATGGTCTATTATAAAAATGGCAGTTTAAGCAATTTTGAGGCATGTCGGTAAAGATTAGACTCCATAATTGACATTGTTCTTTTACAAAATTAATGGATAATACACCTGCATATAGATAACATTGATCGTAATCTTGCAAGCTAAACCACTGTAGAATGTTTTAATTATACCAGTGGTGTTGCTAGTTTAGTACCTAGCTGCCTATTAGCTAATTTATCTAAAATGTTCATTTTAACTAGTTATCAGAGCTTGATTTGCTAAAGTTTTCTGGTTTGCATTACAGCCTGGGCTGAAGCTGGGCTGTTCCCACGCGAGGACCTGATGAATTTGCGTAAAATAGACAATGATCTTGAAGGGCACCCAACTCCACGTCTCAACTTTGTAGATGTTGCCACTGGTTCACTAGGCCAGGGTCTGTCTGTGGCTTGTGGTATGGCATATGCTGGCAAGTACTTTGACAAGGCATCTTACAGGTATGTAGCAGCATGTTGAACACTAAATGCTAATAGTGATGGTAATTAGAATGTTCGGATGCAACTGGCATTACCATAGATTTACTACTAGTATACAGTGCATGTACAATATATATATATGGAGCATACTTTCTTGTATGGGTTTAACACATGCTACATGGTTACCACAAGGTGGGTGGCAGGTTTTTATTAAGTTTTAAATATTGGTTGGGGGTGGCCTTAAGCATTATCTTGTGAAGTTATTCAAAGCCTTTACACACTAGAATGTTCATATACAGTATTTGATTATTTGATTTATTGATAAACATTTCTCTTGGAACTACTGTATAATGCATACTTATTTTTATTTGAACTCCCGTAATTTGTTAAATTGTCCATAATGGCTGCAATTTAGAGCAGTCTGCATAGCTATTTTGTTGATTTCCTTGGTTGCTCCAAAGGGGCAAGATTTTTACTGGGTGTGTTGTCTTGGTGACACTGCACTGCCACTGAAAGATTATCTCCAGTGGGCCATGTAGGATCATACTAGTGTTGGAGAGGTGCACCCGTGTGCCTACTGTTGTCTACCTAATTTTTGTAGAATTGCCAACTTTCAAAATATTAGTAACCATTGTAAAGAGCACTACTAGATTAAATGTTCTTCAGAGACCACCATGGAGCACTGGTAGTATCTTGATGCCACTTGGTATTATAGTGGGTGGTCCCAATTGAATGTAAAGTTACAAAACAGGTGTAAGTCTTCATGAGTATTGTAGTTAATAGTAATGGTGTACTTGGTATGTGTAACACGATTTTAAATAAGATTCATTTTTCAGAACTTATTGCCTTATTGGTGATGGCGAGAGTGCAGAAGGCAGCATCTGGGAAGCTTTGAGTTTTGCGGGAATAAAGAAGCTGGACAATCTGGTGGCAATCTTTGATATTAATCGTTTAGGCCAGTCGGAACCAACCGCTTTCCAGCATGAAATGGATGTTTACCGTGCTAGGTTGGAAAGCTTTGGCTTTAATGCTCTTGTAGTAGACGGACACGATGTAGAGGCGCTGTGCAAGGTGAGGTTTTTTCATAAATGTTAGTTTTCCATAGCTGTGTATGCAAACAAATATAAATGTAAAGTTTTGTCAGGTTCCATGATGGCAACTATCACTTCATGGTATGGTAAGAGGTTACCTTAGAAGGGAAAACATTCCTAAATGTAAAAGAAACTATCTTGAGTAAATAATTGACTAGGTTTTTAAATGGAGGAAAAATCTGCATAGGTCTAATATTTATAATAATTGGTGATGGTATTGCTTGTTTAGAATAATTGTTGCTTTGCCTCAGGCATTCCATGAAGCATCTCAGACAAAAGACAAGCCAACTGCTGTCCTAGCAAAGACTTACAAGGGTCGAGGCTTCCCAAGTATCGAGGATGAAGAGAACTGGCATGGTAAACCTTTAGGATCCAAAGCGGAGCAAGTTATTGCCCATATAGAAGGTCAGATTAAGAATGCTGGACCCAACAACTTGGTGCCTCAGAAGCCTCTGCATGAAGATGCACCAGAAGTAGACATCTCAAACATAAAGTTAGCATCCCCACCAGATTATAAGAAAGGTAATTCTTGATGTAATTTTTTGTAATATGGAATTCGTCGGTTTGTCTTGCAACATGTTCTAAACTTGATGCCAGGCCCAGTCTAAGAAATGGAATGTATTCGTACACAATTTGATGCTTAAAGTTGACTTTAACTGCAGTTCAACAAATGCCATGTTAGTTTACATTTCTAAAGATAACTATATATCAGTTGTATTATTTTATATCTTGATGCACAGAATATAACTAGTTGCCTGCAGAATTGTAAACATAGGGGAAAGATGGGGCTTATGGGAGGTGGTGGTGTTAGCACTTTTGTAGCTACCACAATGGGTGATGGCCTCTTGCAACAGATGGTAGCATTTGCTGGGTCTAAACTAGTTGTGAAGGCAATGTATCTGGTCAGATATACAGCACTTTAACTTCATTAATAAAGAATGAAAATTGGTGGCATGAAGACTATCTGATACTGCTGTAGTTTTATGGGGAAGTGTGGTAGCAAAACGAGAATTAAGGGTCGCCACTAGTTGTCGGGCCTGCATCTTGATTTGATTTAACCACTGAATCTTGCCAGGTGCTAGGATTGATGTAATCTGAATCCTTCTCAACTGTGGACCATTGCATTAGTGTTAAAGCACATTGTCAAGCTGAAAGAGGAAATTTAATAACAGACTGAACAGTGAAAATTCAGATGAGGGACTAAGAGGGATAGGATCTACCTGCAAAATATTAAGGGTTGGGGGGGGGGGGAGGAAGCGAGCTGGAAAGAAAATCTGTGAATGGGATAATAGAATTTGTAACACGTACTGAAGCACAGGAACAGTTCAATCTTTTCAGTAGGAAAGTGGATGAGGTGGTCAGGAAACCCATGTTTCAACAGGTGCTAAAAGCCTTAAAAAGCATAGCTAACTGGGTACAAAAATTTGGTTGGCAGAGCAGCAGGTAAAGTGACATTGAAACAAGAACAAAGTTATTGTATAAATATATTGGAAGAAAAAATGGTGACATCAGACTGAAAGAATAGATAGGAACATTTGAGAATAATGGTATGAAAAGTTAATGTTCCAGGTTTACAAACTGGAATTTGAAGAGTTGAGGTAAAAGGTTAACAAAAAGCATAATGACAAGTTCCTGTGCAAGAAATGCACACCTGGGGCACTTGCTTTAGCAATAATAGGCTAGGATTAGATTAGGTAGGTTTCTTACTGAAAGATTGTAGAAATAGTTACCCACTAGTTGGAGCTTTCAACAACTTTTGACAAGAGCACTTGGAAATCTAGGTAAATTGTGATCATGAAGTGGCGAGTCTGTTGATAGGTTTAATACATCATCCAAAATATTCTTAATATGCTTATTAATATTCTAGAGTATTGACTAGGGCAGTGATGAATGTGGGTAAATTAATGAATTATATTGCTATAGTTTTGCCAAGTGATGACATTTGCTGGAATGGCACTGATATCAGATTAATGGTGAAATTGGCTAAAGACGTGACCTTGAAATTTAAGAGCGTAAATGCATTGCCTTGTTAAAGTACTTGCTTACTATATAGTACCTCTTTGATCATAGTAAAGTTTAATATGAAGATTTCGGTGAAAGGGATAGTTTCTTATTTTTCCCGCCGTTTATTATGGCTGGACTCGTGCCTTTATATTTGTAACTACTGTACTTTATAGGTGACAAGGTGGCCACAAGGCAAGCATATGGCACAGCACTTTCAAAGTTGGCAGAAAATAACCCGAGAGTCGTTGCCCTTGACGGAGACACGAAGAACTCTACTTTCTCTAATGCCATGTTGAAGACGGACCCTGAAAGGTGAGAACACTTCAACACTATGAAGGTGGCAACCTTCATGTTGTCTTGTCTGTACTTGCCATTAGAGCGCTGAAAGCAGTGGCTTTGTATATTACTGTACAGTAATGCATTAAATTAAGTTGTGCTGTAAAGGTAAATTGTTAAATGTTACTACTGGTATAATCTTTAACGGTAGATTATTTTTATACTATTCCTCAGATGGAATGCATAGAAAACTGGATAAAATTTTAAAGTAAACCACATAATGTGGTTAGTAAGATCTTCAAATGTCTGGCAGTTGTTCCCTACACAGCACAATCCCAGGCCACATTAAATTATTCTTAAATTTAAAGATTGCCGAATAGTTCTTACCTAAATATGTGTGGGAAAAATCCTTGAAGTATGGGCAGTAGATGACATATGGTATGTGGCAAATGTTGGTAGCACTGGACCAACCAAAAAAATATCACAGGTTAACCGTTTTATGATAGTTAACAAAATTATAATTTATTGATAAAGCTGAAAGAGAGTGGTAACAAATTTAACAAGACTAAATTTGTTTCTCTAAGAATATCATTGCACACTTAAACATCCTGATCTATATCCAGATTTATAATGTAATAAAACCTGAATTTAATGTTATTTGAATATTGGGTATAAAAATAGATCCAGATTTTGAAGATTTGTCATGTTTGCTCTTGAATGTGGCTAGAAGAGGCTTAAACTTTCAGTATTTTTTCCATATGATCACATAACAGTACTGGTTTCCAGCTTCCTATTTTCTTGCTATAAAAGTTTTTGCTTGTGTATTGTGAACAGTGATGTACCGTGCCATTTATTCTTGGTGATGGTTCCCATGACACATTAGTCATAGCTGATTTTTTGGCTGTCTTGTTGCTAACTGTTCCTTTTCTGGCTATCTGGTTTTGTGCTTGGTCTAGTAGAGAGCAATGCAACCTGGAATTTGACTGAATCATCTGGTCTGAGGCTTACACAAAGCCCAGTCGTGGTTTCACAGGCATTGGAAGTACAGTGTGCCTGTTTGAATCCTCCTTATGGCTCCTCATGACTCATTAATATGTTAGGTTAATGTGATTTCATTGTGCATTTGAAGAGGTGTTGGACATAGAACTTGTAGACCATAGCCAGTGTGTGGAGGGGGGGGGAAGGGGGCAATATATGAAATGCTGAGTGGGCTTCAGTGGAAGCCTCTGCACCCAAAGGATAAAAGTTAAATCCCAGGTTGCATTGCTTTTGACTATCGTGAAGTGGTCTAAGGCATGTGCTTGGGAGTACCCAACGTGCAGGTTCAAATCCTCGTGGCCCCTACTGATTTTCTCGTTGATACCTCATATTTGCAATTTCTTTGTGGAAGGTGTATACAACTTTCTTCCCCTTTTGTTAATCTTTTAGACAAGCATTTTGTAAAAAATCTGTGCATTAGTTACTTTTCCTAAAGCCACCTTGTTCCTATATCGCTGTATTGTCAGGAAGCCCCGCCCCCCCCCCCCCAAATTAAGATTAGGATATTAAATTAATGCCTCTGTTGTTCCCAATCTTGTTTTATATAGACCTCAATGGCCATTATGTTAAATTTGGGACCTCCCCCTCTTACTGTGTCAGCTGACGTGGATCAATGGTTAGTGTAGTTGGTAACGACTGCAAAAGTCAGATTAGATTGCTGCACAGTATGTAGACATTGGGCATGGTTTTTTTTTCCACCTGTGTTAATGTGGCAGTCAATGGGTACCCAAAAAGCAATTGTTCGGGTTGCATCCTGGGAAAGGGGTCATCTGTCCTAAGATGACCTAATTATAGTTTCTTTGTATTATATTGTATCTTAAATAATGCCAATAGGGTTTCTGACAGAGGCACAAATACCATACTATTCCCCACCTTGCCTGCATATCTCAACATATCTGCAGTTTTTAGCTGTACCAGGAGGCTTTCCCTATTTAATCCATTTCATTTCTTGTAATTCTCATTTTCCTATAAAGATTTTCCCCACCTTTGTCTGATCACAAGGTATTACACACAATTTTTCTCATGGTAATGTAAAGCAAGTTGGCCTAGGTCTTTGTTTTAACCTCTTCATCCTTAAACTGCTCTTGTCATTCTCTGGACTATGCATTCCTAACTGTCCTTTGCATTTCTACAATGTATTAGTCATTTCTTGTCTGCTTTCATAAATTGGCTGAATGTTTGAGGCTACTTAATATTAATGTAATGCACACATTTTAAACTTTTGAAATGTATGATAGAGTACAGTACAGTATATGAATATATTAAAATGGAAGCAAGATTATAGAAAAATGAAGAGGGGCCTAGATTTTAATCTTTAGCTGGGTGGGATAATTGTAGTAACTTTCCTTCTGTATACTTTTGAATGCCCAATAGTAAGACATGGATGTAAGTTTGTGAAGTATATTATGACAGGTTTCATGTTGAGCTCATAGCCTGTACAAAATTAAAATATTAGTATGCTCTAGGATTTTTCTAATGAAAAGTATATAAAATTAGAATTGTCTAATCGGTGCAAGGTGGCTGATTTAATTAAATTTGTTTTTTCTCTCCCCATTCCTCTGGCAGATTTGTAAAGTTTTTTTCTCTGGTCATTTTTCTATTGCCCTAAAGTTTTGTGAATTATACATGGAGATTCCAGATAACTCTTACCACTGGAAGTAAAAGACAACAGTAAGAATGCCAAATGTTAAATATTAGAGGACTTGGGTAGCTTGGGGCTGATTGTTTCCTCGTTTTCAGATACATTGAATGCTTCATTGCCGAACAGAACTTGGTGGGTGTTGGTATTGGAGTTGCTTGTCGTGACAGAACTGTAGCATTTGTTTCCACATTTGCTGCCTTTTTCACCCGTGCCTTTGATCAGCTGCGCATGGGAGCCATTTCCCAGGTACAGTATATTTAAATGTACAGTAAATTGAAAGTGTGTGTTGAATTGGATCTTATTAAAATGTACAATATTTAATTCTGTGGTAACCTTTGTCTATTGTATAGTAGATTGAATTATGGCACTCTTAAAGTTGGTAATGAAGTTGGCCTCCAGTTCTACTTCCTGAATGGGGACATCCATATGTCAAATTTATTCCAATGATCACTTTTGTCTTTCTTCATAAATTGGAAAGTTGTATTCCTACTTTTTCTCAATCTTTTTCTATTGTCTTCAGTTCTTTGTTGGGTGGAGTTTTTTACGTGTTCATAGTTTGTTTACTTCATTCCTAGTACCAGTCTCTTGGCAAATATCTACTTATTTTTCTTATTTTAATAAATATGGTGGCAGGTTGTTCTAGTGTTCAGTATTTTGAATTTTCTTAGATTCTTGAAGTTGGTTAGTTTGCCTTATCATACTTGCCATTATTATGCTAGAGCTGCTGACATTTAATCAAAGCTCCACAAATGGTTTGTGGTAGCCATTATGGGTAAGCTGCAAATGTAAAATTTGACTTAATCTGTAGTTATAATAAGACGATTAAAGGATTGGAATCTCTTCTGCGTGCTTTTGTGCTCTTTAATGAAAAGTAGGGTTTTGTACAAGCAGAGATGCCATTAAGAATTCCTAAAAATTGTCTATTGCCAGCACAGGAAGATGCTTGACTCGATCCTGCAGCCAAAAAGCATGTTATACTGCCAGCAAATGGCATCAGTTTGTTGTAGCAAGGTGTCGTGACATTTGCTTGGCTGTAGCTCCATAGTATTCCTGACTTTTTTTTTTTTTTAGGCACCTCCCATTAGTCAAAACCTTGGTTCAGTTTTTGTGCCAAAGTTGCATATACGAATTAGTGAAGCATTTCAGTAATGTTTGTTATAGGTATCGAGTAATTTTTACTAATTTCTGTATCGTGAGTGAATTTGTATTGGTAAAAGCTTGTATGATGATGGGCTTACGTTTTAATTTTTTTTTTTCTTCAGACAAACTTAAATTGTGTAGGATCACATGCTGGTATCAGTATTGGTGAAGATGGTCCTAGCCAAATGGCACTAGAAGATTTGGCAATGTTCCGCTCCATCCCAACTGCCACGGTGTTCTACCCATCAGACGCAGTGTCTACAGAACGTGCTTGCGAGCTGGCAGCAAACACCCCTGGTATCTGCTTTATCCGTACTTCTCGTCCAGGGACTTCAGTAGTATATGAAAATAACCACAAATTTGAGGTCAGTTATATTGATTTCTGCAGTAATATTGACCATCTTTCATATATAAATGCACTTGTAACAGCTGGGTGGTGACCTAGTCAGAGGCCATAACAGGGCTTCTTGGTAATGCACAGTTTGGGTGTGCACTACTCAGAAATCTTAATTACAAATACCCTTGGATCTGTTTTTGGTAAGTTTAATCTGTAGGCTGTATTGTGTGGTATAAATCCCCTCCCACTTTTCCATCTACATAATTTCTAGTTCTGTTATACTGTAAATATTGTGTAAATGTACTAGTAATACTGTTAATATTTAGAAACCTCATTTCCAAATGGACTGTCTTCATTAGAGTTCAGTAATTAAACTAAAACCTAAGAATAACTTTTTTGACAAGAAACGGTTTTCCAGATTGGCAAAGCTAGTGTCATAAAGTCCTCCAGCAAGGATGAAGTCTTGGTGATAGGCGCAGCTATCACCTTGAGGGAGGCACTGACTGCAGCCGAAAAACTGAGCGGTGAAGGGACAAATGTGCGAGTCATGGATCTCTTTACTATAAAGCCTATTGATAAAGATAGCATTATTAAAAATGCCCAGGAGTGTGGAGGTCGTATTATTGTTGTTGAGGATCATTACCCTGAAGGTTAGTAAAGTTCTGCACCTTATTTTGTTTACTTTTAGCAAACTTTAAATTCTCTAGTCACAAGGGTTTATTTGGATTATTAAAACTATAGTACCCCAAATTCTAGCTATTAGCCATGTGATCTTCAAGCAATGAGACATTTTTTGATTAAATGACAATAAAATAAAGGTGATCCTAATGTTAAGGAACTAGAGCTACAAACAGCTGTACATGTAAACCCATATTATGCTCATATTGACTTGTATGTAATAGCCATGCATGCATAATTTTTCAGTGATAGCAGTTTGCTCTTTGTAGGTATTCGTAGATTCATTGAGGAATAGTTATAGCTAATGTGAAGATGTAAGTTTATTTTTGAAGGAAGCAAAGGCAATTTTGGCCACATGGTGACATTGTCAGTGATGGCATTTGCCAGGTACATTGATCCGTTTTGAAGGTCAACGAATTTGGTATTGTATATATTCAGGGGTACCTCAGTTTTCGTAGTTAATCGGTTCCCATAGATGGTACGAAAACGGAAATGAATTGTCCCATAATGTAAGTTGAATTGATCCGTTTCAACCCCCAAATATCAAATATATTGACTAAAATTACATTTTATACAGAATAATACTCTTGGGTACCTTACCTTTTATTGAGGACTCTTGTTGGCGTATGGAAGACGGAGGGGGGGGGGAGGTGTGTTTGGAAGGGGGGCGTCTCCTTCCATTATAACGGCTGTGGTGACATTTCTGGGGTACTCTTACGTTTTGTAGCCATACCACTGGTTGTGGCTCACTACTTGCTTGTCTTACTAAGAATCTGTCTATATAGATACTTTTTCCCTATGGTTTTAACACTTGTTTGTAGTGAGACATCATTCTCACTATGAATGATCTTGTTTTTCATCTATGGTCATCCTCACAACTATTTTCTTAAGTTGAACATTACCACTGACTTTCTTGGCACTGATGGTGTTATATATAATAACTTTCATATTCAGAAACCAAAAATAATGAAATTCAAGGAATTCAAGCACGATAATCACTAGGCGGGAGATGCTGGTAAACTGAAGTGATGGTTGCAGTGGACCAGTACGTGTGTGAAACTGTTTTCAGAGGCAAACAAAGGGTACCGAATCAAATTTTTCCGGGAAATTGAGTACGAGTACCGAAAAATACGAATAGGGGCATACGAGAACCGAGGTTCAACTGTATATTTAATTTTTATATATATAGAGCATCAAGGGAGGTAGTTTTTAATGTACTCTCCTTGCATCCTTGAATATTATTGTCTTGATCAGTCAAAATATTAAATATAAATATTACTGAGTGGGTTGCATTCTACTAGATAATGTAGATTCCTGAAATACTTAAATTATTTTAGTTTCTTAAATAAATACTATTGTACATTTCAGGTGGTATTGGTGAAGCTGTGATGTCGGCAGTTGCCATGGAGCGTAACATCATTGTACGTCATCTGGCTGTCCGAAGAGTACCACGCTCTGGGAAGTGTGACGAATTACTTGACATGTATGGAATTTCTGCTTCAGCCATCGTAAAGGCTGCTAAGGAGATTAAGAATGTGTAGAAGAGTCGGCCGATACTGAAGAGCTTTAGTTTTGCTACTGAAGGGCTTGGTAAAGAAAGCTTTGTGAAGAGCAAAGGATGGCTCATTTCTCGCTGTTGATTATTAAAGTAGAATAAAATATTCTTAAATATTGTATTTAAGAAAGCAGCAGTATTGTGCTGAATTTGGGTCCATGAAAAGCATTCCAATAAATTTGTTAAGAGTAGGATTAGAGCCAGTTAGCGGTACTGGATGAGGTGAGCCACGTGATAATTCTTGGCACTTTTATGGCTTTAATGACATCATTTCCAAGTTACGTAGTCTGCTTGTTGGAGATAAAATGGGGAAACAAATGTAATGGTAAACAAAAAAAAAAAAAGCAATTGCTTGATGCTACAAATTAAGGCTTTTGTCTGTGCCGTTGGTAATTATTTAATTGTATTTGAACAAATTTAATTTCCTTCAAAGTACATTGTTGATTGCTTTAATGTTTGTGTATCGATAGAAAGTATGGAACTAGTTCCCCAAAAATAAAATATACTATATTGTATCTGTGTTTGAAATATAACAAGTTGTTGACAGGGCGACGATGATCAAGGGATCAGATGTGCTCCAATATAACCAGAGGGTTGTAAACTTGGTGGATTCCAGGGAAAACCAATAGGGCTAGGACTTTGCTTGACTTATGGGAAGGTTCTAGGCCTCTTAACAAGTCTTGAATTCTTCCTGTATCAATCGATGCATTAAAGAGTAAGAGGGTGGGATAAAAACTACTGATATCCTTAAGCTTCTGACTACCCCAAAATCTGTCTTGTACTCCTTATTCTATAAGAACTGGAATTTCCCTTCCCATTGGGTGCCACAGTTGTAAGAAATTCGGCTGGAAAGAATTGAATCGTGAATAAATGTCACTTTGCATAACATTTTAGTGTTAATTTTGATTCAAACTGTAGCCTTCCCGGTTTGGTGCCTTCTTTTGATAATTACTTTGATTCAAACTGTATACATTACCACTTTTTTTAATATCTAATTCAGAACTTCTTTTTTTTCTGTTAGTATGAAAGGAGGAACGGTATAATGGTTATTACCAGTTTACTGGTACATTCTCGGTGTATTTGAGGGGGGCCTTGCAGCGCTTGGTTGTAATCCTAAGGGCTCGGGTTCGATTCCCTGCAGAGGCGAACGGAAACAAATGGGCATTTTTTTTTTCGCCCTGATGTCCAAATTGCATTGTCCCTCTTAGTGCATATCCTTGTTGAATGTCTCGACTTCCAGGACGAGCGTGTCTTGCTTTCCGATCGCCCCTCGCGGTCACTTGTCCCTCGATAGACTTCTTGGTGAATCGGATACTTGCGATATCGTTCACCTTATGCGATTCTGTTCTCGTATTGGCATCCTTGGTGATATTTAGCGCCCTCTGATTATTTCGCACATTTGATGGTGCTACATAGCCTTCCCGGTTTGGTGTCTTCTTTTGATAATTGCTTATTTTTTTCACCCTGATGCACCTGTTCACCTAGCAGTAAATGGGTACCTGAGGAAACAACTGCTATGGGCTGCTTCCCGTTTGGGTGGGAGGGGGGGGAGGTTGGGATATAAATATATGCAGTAGATAGAAGAAAAAATAGATTAGAAAGGTGGGATCCAGAAGCAGACCCAAATAGTAAATAGTCAGATTCGGCTCTTAAAGTAGATGCATAGCATCAATGTACTGTTTAAACGTTACTACTACATAGCCTTCCCGGTTTGGTGCCTTCTATTGATAATTACTTAAACGTTACTAATGTGGTCATGAGAAATAAGATTGCCTATAAGCAGCCTGAGAATCGTAATGCTAAAAACTATCAAAACTGCAGATCGGTTAAATTTTTACACACTACTAGTACAATAGTTATACTGTCACTGCAACAGCCACATTTCTATGGATCGGACTAAAATTGGCAGACTCGTAATGTTCGATAGGAACAAGAAAAGACCGAAGTTTTAATTGATAAGAGTCTGCACTGAACGAATACTTTACATCAGTGTTCTCACTAGCAAGGTTACACTGCTCAATACCCCCACAAATGTTTGAAGCAGAAGAGAATGAATTCGGAGATATTCCCATAACGTAACAAAAACAAGCGGGAAGAGCATTGACAAAGAACTCAAAAGGCCTAAGTATGAATGAAATTTAATCCAAAGTCGTCAAGGAACTCTTCCACAAACGCGGTTTCAGAAAATCTAAAAGGGATAGTTCCACTAAATTGGAAATGGTACGTTCTTCGAGGAAGTTAGAACTCTGGCCAAAAACTGACTGATCAGCCTAACCTTTCATACCTGCAAGCTCGGAGAATCTCTCTGCCAACCCTTGTAGGGGTTCGGTAGGCCCTTGGTGCGTACCTCCTGCGTGACTCGGTTTACGTTAAGGGAATGATTCATTCATCTCGCAATGCACAATCTAGTAAAATTAACGCAACTGTTTTGTTGAAAATAAATCTTGCCTTACAAACATGCTCACATTTTTGAAGAGGCTAACCAGCTGTTCAGACGTAGGACTAAGTGGTGTAGTTTACATGGACTTCAATAAAGCTTATGATAAGGTGCCAGATGAAAGGCTGGCAAGGAAATTACAAGCATCCAGGAATACATGTTAAAAATACTAGAATGGTTGAAACAAGGCAAAAGGGTTGTCCAAATTGGGAATCACTCTGACTGGAGAAATGTGGTGAGTGGGATACCGCAAAGATTCCATCTTTGGGCTTTTCTTGTTTTGCTATTTACATCAATGATCGATGAATGGCATTAAGTTCTATGGTATATTGGGAGGCAAAAATTATATTGAGACCTTGCAAAGAAATCTACATTAACTCAAATGGTTGAAAAGACTGGCAAAGCTTTTTAAAATTGAAAAATGCAAGACCTTGTATGTACAATACACATTCATCTTTCTCCTGGTTTAATTTAACGGGAGACATCTCCCGTCACGCAGGGTGCAGTCGCGCCTCCACAGATCTCCAGTATCAGCTCTTGATACTGGTAATGGCTCAAAAGGGCCACCACTTACGGGCTATTCATGCCCGTGCCACCTCTTGGGTGACTTAATCTTTATTAATCTCCTGGTTTAACCTTGACGACGTGCGGACGTCTGGACACCTCCGCTTGGGAGCCGCCGGATCACGTTCTGTTTTCACGTTTTGGATTTGATGCTGCTGTTTGGCATCCCTATTCAACGGTCTGGTTGTACGACGCCTGGCGCACATATTGCTTTGGGTCACGAGATTGTTGATATTTTTATTTACGTGTTCTGATTGGTTCTCCAGGCGGGGTGACGGTGTCCGGCGCCGGTTGAGCCGAGAGGTGCCGGGAGTTGGTGGGTCTTGGCGGGCGGCTGGTGTGCCCTCGGGCGTGGTGGGCGGCTGGTGTGCCCTCGGGCGTGGTGGGCGGCTGGTGTGCCCTCAGTAGTGGTGGGCGGCTGGTGTGCCCTCAGTAGTGGTGGGCTCCTGGTGTGCCCTCGGGCGTGGTGGGCGGCTGGTGTGCCCTCGGGCGTAATGGGCAGCTGACTTCTGCTCTGCCGGGGGGCACCGGATGACTTTTGCGTTTTAGCTGCGGGCCGAGTTTTTGGTTTTGCTACCCAGTGTTCTCTGTGTGGGGCGGGGCCGGTGCTTGTCCTCTGAGGGCTCCCCAATCATCTGCCTGTCTGCGTTTCTTTGCCGCGAAGTATATTAGTTTCCAGTGATTGACGTCACTCGTTTTCCGATTAGGCTTGGCGTTTCACCTTTCCGGACTTCGCGATTAACCCTTCACCGGGGCGCATCCCATCCCACGATCGTCGTCGCCCCTAAATCAACAACAACACATTCATCTTTAAGTGTCTGTCAGTCTGATCGAGGTTAGAAGCCGGAATAATTACAGTAAATCTCAAGCAACAGTCCATTGTGAATTGTGATTGTATGGCGAGCGGCATAGGGTGATTGGGGTCGACTCCCATGCTCGTCTTAAAATAGGATTCTCTCCTAATGCGAAAACCGACCTCCGTGAATGCGGAAATGTGGGTTTGGTGTCCATAGAGTGTTTTCCAAATTTCTCGACTGATGTGTATGTGTTACTAGCTTCATAAGATTGTCACTTGCTTAGCTAAATGAACTGTGGTGCTCAGTTCCTGAACCCGTTACGTGTCTCTGTAACTCTTTCCACCACCGCCCACGGGAGGGGTATGGGGTGCATAATGAATAAATGTTATTGAATCTGCGTCGATAATGTTAATTCAGCGTTGGTAATGTTGATTCAACCTTATTCGAGCACGTTGTGTCAAATAGAAGAGGGACGGAGTAGTATTAGAGAAATTATATACATCTTCAATTTATTCAAAACAAAATTCTGGCAAATATGCTCCATCATCAGTGCTTAAACAAAACATAAGAGCTCAGCAATATTAACTAAAGATCAATACAAATTTTAAAAATTTACAAAAATTAGTCTAAAAAAATAATGAAATAAAATACATATAAAGTAAAAGGTAAGAAAGATATAAAATAAACAATTAAATCTAAAAAAAAGACCTAACAACACACTATTCGGGTATTCAAAGCCCGAAACGCTTTGCGTAATAGTGGCTTTGGGCATTGTATGTACTAGCTCTATCTATAAATCTATCAATTTTTGTATAACCTCTTGTATGTATGTACTTTACCTGAATAAACATTTGAACTTTTTTGAATTTTGACTATAAAAAGGGAAAAATTACTGAGTGAACAGTTGAGTTGAGGACTTGTTGAGTTGTTCAACTTGACAGGTCTCATGCTAGCCTCGCGACACGAGAGACATTACAAGGTGGCGATGAGATTGTCGTGAGAACAGTGACATCGTTGTGAGTGAGAGGTGGTTCATGTCTTCATGGTGATCTCTGATGGCAGAGGACGCAACCTGGCTAAGGCGCGCTAGCTTCGTGCCTTATTTTGATAATTACTCACTTGCCTAAGGAGCAAACCTGTGCGGCAAGAGATACGAATATTCCCTCAAATACGGTTTTTAAGGTTTAGTGAGATATTCTTCATAAATCGAACGTTACAGTTCGAACAGTTAAAGAAGGTAAACAATGGGGAAATGATTTATTTTTTATATTTCAGATTCAAATTCAAATAAGTTTATTGTAAATACAGACAACGGGATGAGGCAGCTCAAGCTATTCTCACCCCGTTCAGCACTAGCAGCCCTAGAAGAGAGGACAGATGTAGTGATTAAGCCAGCAGACAAGGGAGGGCTGGGAAGGGTACCTAACCTAACCTGAAAGGAGGCATAATTAGAGAGAACTTAGATGTAATGGAAACGTAATCGGGTATTCAACCGACCTAAACGAAACTTAACTTAGAGAAATAGTGGACGTTGAGCGGTTAGGGAGGACCTTCATTCTACAAGTTTCAAATAGTATCATTACTGGTAAACACAAAACTGAAAGGTACTTAATTTTTGGATATGGATGTCTAGAAATACAATATTATGAAACTCCTTAATTTCTAATGTGATAACTAACAATACCCAAATGCGGAAATTTTATATAATATCTTCAGGGACTGGGAATTTTATTGTTAGGTAAGAAATTAATATTTAAGAATTTAATTCAGAGAATTTTGCAAGAATTTAATTTCATAAAATATTTTATAATAAAACTTTTAATTTATTATTAACAAGCTTTGGTATACACAGCAATGTGCTGCTACCCTATTCTATATGAAAGATTACACAGTGTAGATCAAAAAACTATCTATAAGTTCATCTAATATTCCCATCTCACAGGATGGTTAGTCATACATGATCTATTACATGATCACTAGCAAAATCTGGGAACAGCACAATAATATCTTCCAACATTTGTGAGTGTATGAAGTTCTTGAGATGATTTCGGGGCTTTAGCTTCCCCGCAGCCTGGTCCTCGACCAGGCCTCCACCCCCAGGAAGCAGCCCGTGACAGCTGACTAACACCCAGGTACCTATTTTACTGCTAGGTAACAGGGGCATAGGGTGAAAGAAACTCTGCCCATTGTTTCTCGCCGGCGCCCGGGATCGAACTAGGGACCACAGGATCATAAGTCCAGCGCGCTGTCTGCTCAGCCGACCGGCTCCCTGTAAGCAAGTAATTACAGAGCTCAAGGTACCTCATACCATTTGGTGTGAAGTCACTTATAACAGGGCAATCACAGGTATAGTGTTGGAGAGTAATGTCCCAGCTCATGTTCACATAGTTTACATAATCAAGTTAAAGATTGAATGCTCTTTTTTTAATTAAATATTTAACTGTGTTCATCTTAAATAATTTAGGACAAAAATGTATATAATGTAAATCTAATTTCGTGACTTTATTTACGATAAATAGAAGTACAAAATGTAATCGTGTTGAATGATGGCGGGATGAGCCTATAGCCTCATCTTAGGCTATGACGAGCCTATAGCCTCATCTTAGACTAGGACGAGCCTATAGCCTCATCTCAGGCCAGGACGAGCCTATAGCCTCATCTTAGACTTGGACGAGCCTATAGCCTCATCTCAGGCCAGGACGAGCCTATAGCCTCATCTCAGGCCAGGACGAGCCTATAGCCTCATCTCAGGCTAGGACGAGCCTATAGCCTCATCTCAGGCTAGAACGAGCCTATAGCCTCATCTTAGACTAGGCTTGTCCAGGTGGCTAAAAGACGCATTCGTCAATTTTAACACAATTCAAAATTTGTATTTTCTCCAATATAAGGTAATATTATTGCATACTAGAATGTGTTGAATAGTTAGACTAAATATAGGTTAAGTGGTTAGGCTCTGTTTGTTGTTGTTTATGATTCAGCTACTGGAAACAAAAATAGGCTCTGTTAGCAAGTATTGGTGTATGAAGTACGCGGATGAGGTGCGTTTGGCCTATGTGGATAAATAAGTTTCGGCTTTGAATTCCAAAGATTTATACCTGACATTTACTTATGAAATTGAGGTCAATTAAAAAAAATAGCATTTATTGGCGTACTGATTATTAATGTTGGTTACCAGTTTTGTAATTTTATGATCAACCTGCCGTGATTGAGTCTGGAAAATGGAATAGATAACATGTTTCTGTATATATATATATATATATATATATATATATATATATATATATATATATATATATATATATGGGTTCTTTTGATGCCTTCAAAGTGTCTACATCGGCGCACTTAAAGTTCACATTTGTAAAAAATATGCTGAATACGATCTAGATAGCACGTGCAAAAAAAAAAAAAAATAGCGCCATAAGCAGAATTAGAGAACACAGGGAGCACCAAAAGCCCTACACTCTCCACACTCAGAGAACACTGTGTGAACACCAGAGGCCTACAACCTGTCACATGCTGAGAGCACAATTAGGGTGGGAGAGAAAGAGAGAAAGAAAGGATGGGAGAGAGCCAGGGAAGGCTATGGTGGGAGAGAGAGAGAGAGAGCCAGGGAGGGCCATGGCGGGAGAGAGAGAGCCAGGAAGGTCCATGGTGGGAGAGAGAGAGAGAGAGCCAGGGAGGGCCATGGTGGGAGAGAGCCAGGAAGGTCCATGGTGGGAGAGAGAGAGAGCCAGGGAGGGCTGGTGGCGGGGTGGGCACGTGCGGCGCGTGCGCGGGGCGGGGCTGGGGTGGGGGCGGGGGAGGGAGCAGCACCGCAGCAGCAGCAGCAGCAGGAGCAGTGTTCATGTTCCCCCCGTGATGATGGCCCGTGTCTGGCTGTGGTCCCATCGCCCAGTAGCAGGGACGGGCGGCGCCCACACCCGCACTCCGGGCTGTTGAGCGGGGCGCAGCCACGCTGTCGGCAGGCCGCCCAGGCCCGCCCTGAGGACCGCCCGCAGCAGCAGCAACGCCCGCGACGCTGCTTCTGCTGCTGGTGGTTGAGGTGGTGGCGCTGGCTGTTTGTGGCCGCGCCCGCCCACCAGCACCAGCAGGACATCCCTCAGCAGGCGGCCGCTGCCCACCAGCAGGAGGCGTCCGCCGCGGCGCAACACACGCGTCACAAGTACCTGCTGAAGCGGCCCTACGAAGCCCATTTTGGGCGCGCCGCCCCATCCGAAGGCGAGGAGTGCAGGAGCCAGGATCAGGGCCAGGGCTGGGGCCAGGGCCAGCCCACTATGGCGCACCTACAGCCCCAGACCTCCCCGCCAGCCCACTGCTTCGTAAAGCGCACTTTCCACAAGCCCGTCTACTGCCACCACTGTACGGACCTCCTCTGGGGCATCATCGGCCAGGGCTACACCTGCGAGGGTGAGTGTTGCTCTTGTCTGCCTCCCTCCCTCCCTCTCTCTCCCTGGCCTGCCTCCCTCACCCTGGCCTGCCTCCCTCCCTCACCCTGGCCTGCCTCCCTCCCTCACCCTGGCCTGCCTCCTTCCCTCACCCTGGCCTGCCTCCCTCCCTCACCCTGGCCTGCCTCCCTCCCTCACCCTGGCCTGCCTCCCTCCCTCTCTCCCCTCCCTCCCTCACCCTGGCCTGCCTCCCTCCCTCCCTCACCCTGGCCTGCCTCCCTCCCTCCCTCCCTCCCTCACCCTGGCCTGCCTCCCTCCCTCCCTCACCCTGGCCTGCCTCCCTCCCTCCCTCCCTCACCCTGGCCTGCCTCCCTCCCTCCCTCCCTCACCCTGGCCTGCCTCCCTCCCTCCCTCCCTCACCCTGGCCTGCCTCCCTTCCTCTCTCTTCCTCCCTCACCCTGGCCTGCCTCCCTCCCTCACCCTAGCCTGCCTCCTTCCCTCTCTCTCCCTCCCTCACCCTAGCCTGCCTCCTTCCCTCTCTCTCCCTCCCTCACCCTGGCCTGCCTCCCTCCCTCCCTCCCTCCCTCCCTCCCTCCCTCCCTCCCTCCCTCCCTCCCTCCCTCACCCTGGCCTGCCTCCCTCCTTCTCTCTCCTTCCCTCACCCTGGCCTGCCTCCCTCCCTCCCTACCTCACCCTGGCCTCCCTCCCTCCCTCCCTCACCCTGGCCTGCCTCCCTCCCTCCCTCACCCTGGCCTGCCTCCCTCCCTCCCTCCCTCACCCTGGCCTGCCTCCCTCTCTCCCTCTCCCTCCCTCACCCTGGCCTGCCTCCCTCCCTCCCTCTCTCTCTCCCTCCCTCACCCTGACCTGCCTCCCTCTCTCCCTCCCTCACCCTGGCCTGCCTCTCTCCTTCCCTCACCATGGCCTGCCTCTCTCCCTCCCTCACCCTGGCCTGCCTCTCTCCCTCCCTCACCCTGGCCTGCCTCTCTCCCTCCCTCACCCTGGCCTGCCTCCCTCCCTCACCCTGGCCTGCCTCCCTCCCTTCCTCACCCTGGCCTGCCTCCCTCCCTTCCTCACCCTGGCCTGCCTCCCTCCCTCCCTCACCCTGGCCTGCCTCCCTCCCTCTCTCCCCCTGGCCTGCCTCCCTCCCTTCCTCACCCTGGCCTGCCTCCCTCCCTCTCTCACCCTGGCCTGACTCCCTCCCTCTCTCACCCTGGCCTGCCTCCCTCCCTCCCTCCCTCCCTCACCCTGCCCTGCCTGCCTCCCTCCCTCCCTCCCTCCCTCCCTCCCTCCCTCCCTCCCTCCCTCCCTCCCTCCCTCCCTCCCTCCCTCACCCTGCCCTGCCTGCCTCCATCACCCTGGCCTGCCTCCCTCCCTCCCTCACCCTGGTCTGCCTCCCTCTCTCACCCTGGCCTGCCTCCCTCCCTCTCTCACCCTGGCCTGCCTCCCTCCCTCCCTCACCCTGGCCTGCCTCCCTCCCTCTCTCACCCTGGCCTGCCTCCATCCCTCCCTCACCCTGGCCTGCCTCCCTCCCTCCCACACCCTGGCCTGCCTCCCTCCCTCTCTCACCCTGGCCTGCCACCCTCCTTTACCCTGGCCTGCCTCCCTCCACCCCTCACCCTGGCCTGCCTTCCTCCCTCCCTCACCCTGGCCTGCTTCCCTCCCTTCCTCACCTGGCCTGCCTCCCTCCCTCCCTCACCCTGGCCTGCCTCCCTTCCTTACCATGGCCTGCCTTCCTCTCTCCCTGGCCTGCCATCCTCTCCATGGCCTGCCTCCCTTCCTTACCATGGCCTGCCTTCCTCCCTCTTCCTGGCCTGCCTTTCTCCCTTTTCATGGCTTGCCTTCCTGTCTTATTGATCTGCCTTCTTCTCTAGCCTGCCTTCCTCTCTCTCTGGCCTGCCTTCCTCTCTTCCTGGCCTACTTTTCTCTTTCCTTGGCCTCCTTTCTTCACTCTAGCCTGCCTTCCTCTCTCTCTGGCCTGCCTTCCTCTCTCTGGCCTGCCTTCCTCCCTCCCTGGCCTGCCCTCCTCCATCCTTTCCTCTCCCTAGCCTACCTGCCTGTCTTCCTCCTTCACCCTGGCCTGCCTCCCTCACACTAACTCTCCCTTACCCTAGCCTGCCTCTCACCTTTGCATCCGTCCCCACCCAGTCTGGACGTCCCTGGTGATTTGGGTGGAGGTGCGGGTGGTTGCAGGTGTGGCAGCAGCAGCAGCAGCAGCAGCAGGAGGCAGCCGCCCCTCGTGCTGCCAGCGTCAGCCATCTTGGACCAGCTCTGGCGCTCATTTACCTCACCCGCTTCCAGCCCTCACCCTTCTCTAGCCCCCCCTCACCCGCTTCCAGCCCTCACCCTTCTCTAGTCCCCTCACCCGCTTCCAGCCCTCACCCTTCTCTAGCCCCCCCTCACCCGCTTCCAGCCCTCACCCTTCTCTAGTCCCCTCACCCGCTTCCAGCCCTCACCCTTCTCTAGCCCTCACCTTCACCCGGCTCCAGCTACAGCGTTGTAAACCATACATATTTTCTTTGTAGGGGCTGGTACCGTGAGGGGCTGGTACCGTGAGGGTTGGTACCGTGAGGGTTGGTACCGTGAGGCTTGGTACCGTGAGGGGCTGGTACCGTGAGGGTTGGTACCGTGAGGGTTGGTACCGTGAGGATTGGTACCGTGAGGGTTGGTACCGTGAGGGTTGGTACCGTGAGGGTTGGTACCGTGAGGGTTGGTACCGTGAGGGTTGGTACCGTGAGGGTTGGTACCGTGAGGGGGTGGTACCGTGAGGGGCTGGTACCGTGAGGGTTGGTACCGTGAGGGTTGGTACCGTGAGGGTTGGTACCGTGAGGGTTGGTACCGTGAGGGCTGGTACCGTGAGGGTTGGTACCGTGAGGGCTGGTACCGTGAGGGGCTGGTACCGTGAGGGTTGGTACCGTGAGGGTTGGTACCGTGAGGGTTGGTACCGTGAGGGTTGGTACCGTGAGGGTTGGTACCGTGAGGGTTGGTACCGTGAGGGTTGGTACCGTGAGGGTTGGTACCGTGAGGGCTGGTACCGTGAGGATTGGTACCGTGAGGGTTGGTACCGTGAGGGCTGGTACCGTGAGGCTTGGTACCGTGAGGGGCTGGTACCGTGAGGGTTGGTACCGTGAGGGTTGGTACCGTGAGGGTTGGTACCGTGAGGGCTGGTACCGTGAGGGTTGGTACCGTGAGGGCTGGTACCGTGAGGGCTGGTACCGTGAGGGCTGGTACCGTGAGGGTTGGTACCGTGAGGGTTGGTACCGTGAGGGCTGGTACCGTGAGGGTTGGTACCGTGAGGGCTGGTACCGTGAGGGCTGGTACCGTGAGGGCTGGTACCGTGAGGGTTGGTACCGTGAGGGCTGGTACCGTGAGGGTTGGTACCGTGAGGGTTGGTACCGTGAGGGCTGGTACCGTGAGGGTTGGTACCGTGAGGGCTGGTACCGTGAGGGTTGGTACCGTGAGGGCTGGTACCGTGAGGATTGGTACCGTGAGGGCTGGTTCCGTGAGGGCTGGTACCGTGAGGGTTGGTACCGTGAGGGCTGGTACCGTGAGGGCTGGTACCGTGAGGGTTGGTACCGTGAGGGCTGGTACCGTGAGGGCTGGTACCGTGAGGATTGGTACCGTGAGGGCTGGTACCGTGAGGGCTGGTACCGTGAGGGCTGGTACCGTGAGGGTTGGTACCGTGAGGGCGGATACCGTGAGGGTTGGTACCGTGAGGGCTGGTATCGTGAGGGCTGGTATCGTGAGGGCTGGTATCGTGAGGGCTGGTATCGTGAGGGCTGGTACTGTGAGGGCTGGTATCGTGAGGGTTGGTACCGTGAGGGCTGGTATCGTGAGGGCTGGTACTGTGAGGGCTGGTATCGTGAGGGCTGGTATCGTGAGGGCTAGTACCGTGAGGGCTGGTACCGTGAGGGCTGGTATTGAAAGGGCTGGTAACGTGATGACTGGTATTGTAAGGGCTGGTAACGTGAGGACTGGTATTGTAAGGGCTGGTATCGTGAGGACTGGTATTGAAAGGGCTGGTATCGTGAGGACTGGTATTGAAAGGGCTGGTATCGTGAGGACTGGTATTGAAAGGGCTGGTATCGTGAGGACTGATATTGTAAGGGCTGGTATCGTGAGAACTGATATTGTAAGGGCAGGTAGCGTAAGGACTGATATTGTAAGGGCGGATAGCGTGAGGACTGGTATTGTAAGGGCTGGTATCGTGAGGACTGATATTGTAAGGGCTGGTATCGTGAGAACTGATATTGTAAGGGCAGGTATCGTGAGAACTGATATTGTAAGGGCTGGTATCGTGAGAACTGATATTGTAAGGGCAGGTATCGTGAGAACTGATATTGTAAGGGCGGATAGCGTGAGGACTGGTATTGTAAGGGCTGGTATCGTGAGGACTGCGGGCGTGAGGGCTGGTAGCGTGAGCACTGCGGGCGTGAGGGCTGGTAGCGTGAGGACTGCGGGCGTGAGGGCTGGTAGCGTTGAGGACTGCGGGCGTGAGGGCTGGTAGCGTAAAGACTGCGGGCGTGAGGACTGCGGGCGTGAGGGCTGGTTGCTTAAAGACTGCGGGTGTGAGGGCTGGTAGCGTTGAGGACTGCGGGCGTGAGGGGTGGTAGCGTAAAGACTGCGGGCGTGAGGGTTGGTTGCTTAAAGACTGCGGGCGTGAGGGTTGGTTGCTTAAAGACTGCGGGCGTGAGGGTTGGTTGCTTAACGACTGCGGGCGTGAGGGTTTGTTGCTTAAAGACTGCGGGCGTGAGGGTTGGTTGCTTAAAGACTGCGGGCGTGAGGGTTGGTTGCTTAAAGACTGCGGGCGTGAGGGGTGGTAGCGTAAAGACTGCGGGCGTGAGGGCTGGTTGCTTAAAGACTGCGGGTGTGAGGGCTGGTAGCGTTGAGGACTGCGGGCGTGAGGGGTGGTAGCGTAAAGACTGCGGGCGTGAGGGTTGGTTGCTTAAAGACTGCGGGCGTGAGGGTTGGTTGCTTAAAGACTGCGGGCGTGAGGGTTGGTTGCTTAAAGACTGCGGGCGTGAG